ACAAAAAATTATTTAATTATAAATATCACAAATGTCATAACTTACCTACCATGTTCCTTTATGGCAAACCACTATGAGTGTAAGCCCATTACATGTGCAATTGAAAAGATCATAGTCTGTTATTGCTCTCTATATGTCAGTCTTTAGAACAAAGTATACTATTTTTAAATTTATGCTATGGTGATGCTCGTTTTTGTTTGGCATAAAAAGATTATAAAAATCATATTATTATGTGCGAGAATTAGGATCTGGGTGTTTACTCTGAGTAAAGGTTGGGCCTACTTTAGGTTCGTAAGATGATCTGAATTATTTGTTTTTTAAAAGATATTGAATAAATTATTTTTATAAAAAATTATATTGATCGAATATCGGTAAATATATAATTAGATCATATTTGTCATTTTTTAATTTTTTTAAGACAATTCAATCATGTAATTATCAATATCCAATTAATTTTAATTTTTACATAAAAACCTTATTCAAAAAACTTTACAAATTAAATAGTTCAAATCATCTCCCTGGATTCAAAATATCCCCTACCTTTGCTCAGTGAGGTTGATATGCCATGGGCACAGTAAGCACTTATAAAAATTTAGAAAGTAGGTTAAAAGTTTGTTTTTCAATTTTTTTTATTTTTAAAAAAATATGTAAAAAAATAAATGATGTGATTAAAAAATTAAAAAATTAATACATTAACTTTTAACCTAACTGTCAAAAGAAACCAAGAGAAGCATTTGGATAGAAACATCGGCCAATTCGGAGTAGAAAGTTCTTTGTTGATCATCTGGACATGACATTATTCAACTCTTTGCCTAGGTTCAAAAACGGACTTCTACCTGAACAATTATATGGGTCAACTTTAATGGTAAATTTTTTTTTTTACTTTTCACCTCCTCAACTCAAATAATTATTAAATATAATAGGGATATTAATATTACCCGTTAATGAAAAATGTTACAATGAAAATTAGACGATTGAAACAGTAGCTGATAAAGGTTTTTACTAAATTCATCTGGATTTTTAATTGATTGGCAACACCATTATAATCTTAAACTCCATAAGAATATGTTCTTATAAGGAAAGCCTAATTTCAATGTTGGATTCAACGTTAGAAAATCTGTTAACGAGTTTTGTACGGGAAAGAAATAAACCTTCTCGTATAATCCTGTTGATCAAGTCTGCGCTCCTCCAAACGTCGTCGCTTTATCCCCTGAAAACACAAACGTGAGCTAGCCGGCGAGTGTGTGCCGGAAACCTCTCCGATGCCTAAGTCAGTAAGCTTGACCAATAGACGAAAGTTCTGTGTATTCAGAAAGCAAAATTGTGTTATCTCTCCAAAGGTGATGTTTGTGAGCTTTTATAGGTTTCGCGTGGCACAATCCTAGTAGGACTTTTACTTCTCCATGCAGAGTCCTCCTAGGATTCATGCTTCTGAAGGACAATGCTTATCCTTCAACACCCCCCTCACTGCTCAAACCAAGTGAGATGGTTTTTATCATGACCGAACTCCAATATAACCGAAGTAATTATGATCACGCCGAACCACAGAGTAGACCGAACCGTCCTAGTTCGGTTCTCCTTTTCACTACTCCTTATCTCGGTTCGTTATTTACAAAGAATGGCGTGGTTAGACTGAGCTACAGAGTAGCAAGGTTCTAATCGGTCTAACCACAATACGTCATGACCGAGCTAACTCTGAAACCGGTCTAACTTCAAAGCGTCTTCTAACCGGCCTAACTCCAAGTCGCTTCCGGACCGGAGTAACATTACATTTCTCTCGGGCTGGAGTAATTTTATACTTCTCTCGGGCCGGAGTAACTTTACGGCCTTTTTACTCAGCCCTTCGTATAACCGGTCTAACCACAATACGTCATGACCGGGCTAACTCTGAGACCAGTCTAACTTCAAATCGTCTTCCAACCGGCCTAACTCCAAGTCGCTTCCGGACCGGAGTAACATTACATTTCTCTCGAGCTGGAGTAACTTTATACTTCTCTCGGGCCGGAGTAACTTTACGGCCTTTTTACTCAGCCCTTCGTATTGTGGGCCATAATGACCCATTGCCCAGCTCGGTCCAATTTTCACATAAATTACCCTCTCAATTGCCCCTTAATTCCATTTGCGCAACATGATAGGGATTACCTGTCTATCAGCCGAGCTAAAGTTTAAAGCCTTTCCAGCCGAGCTAAAACTCTTAAGCCTTTCCAGCCGAGCTAATTTCACTCCGGGCTCTGCTTGTCCGGTCAAAACGTCTCTTCAATCACAGCAACTGAATCGCTTCTTATCCCCAAGGACACGTGTCATGCTCTTATTTGGCTGAAGGCAGCTGTCCCGCCGTCTTCGTATCTCGTGTTTTTTGAACAGTTCCCGCCTTTGTCCCTTCTCTTTTCACAAAACAAACTCTTTCACTCTCTTTTGAATCACTAACACTACTATTCATTTCCTTCTCTCTCTCTTCGAGCCTCCATTGTTCTTCCAACTTTGCCACTGTGAAGCTCGTGTCCGTGGCTGCTTTCTACTTCCCTTTACTTCCTCTTATCTTGGTAAGTAACACAAATCTGTTCTCTTTTTGTTTGTTTTCGTCCTTGTTCTGATTCATAGCATATTTGTTTGTGTTTTTGCAAAACACATTTTCTTGTTTTATCTTGCGCTTTCTAGGAAAAACTTCATAAGATCCTCATGAACTTCATGAAGTAATCCATAAAACAGTGTTTGATCCACAATTACCATATAATCGAACTAAAAAGTAGTTTGTAGTCAATGTCCTTCTATCAGACTTTAACCGAACTAGCACTCCATGTTGGTACCAGTAGTTTCAGTAAGTCAAAACCACCTCTTGATAGACCTTAGCCAAGGTAATCGAACTGAACTAAGTCCGAACATAGCATACTGAAACAGTATCTTTCAACCG